AATTGCATGTCCCCAACATGAAATTGGTAAGTTGGAATTTTGTAACAATGGTCGAGCAATTAATTTGATGCGCTTAATGAGTGATTCGGCTAGACCATTTTGTGTGTGGACATAAGGTACCGGATGCTCCACTTTGATGCCCAATGACATACAATAATCATCAAAAGCTTTCGATGTAAATTCGCCGGCATTATCCATTCTAATGGTTTTAATTTGATAATCAGGAAATTGAGCTCTTAATTCAATAATTTTAGCAAGAAGCTTTGGAAAAGCCTGATTTCTAGTGGATAATAAACACACATATGTCCATCGAGTGGAAGCATCTATCAAGACCATAAAATATCGAAAAGGTCCCGAAGTGGGATGAATAGGACCACATATATCACCTTGAATCCGATGAAGAAACATAGGAGATTCAATTCCAACTTTAGTACGTGAAGGTTTTAATATCAATTTTCCCTTTGCACAAGCATCACAAATAAATTCATTAAAAGAAGGGAGACTGCTGCTTGATACAGTATGCCCAATAGAGTTAGAAATAATCCGACGCATCATACTAAGCCCAGGATGACCCAATCGCTCATGCCATAATTTAAATAAATTTGGGTCTTTAAATTTTAAGCTCAATGCAACATGATTAATAGAGGGTCGAATGTAAGTATGGTATAAGCCTGAGGAGAAAGAGGGAAGTTCTTCTACAATTTTCTTTTGACTTCCTTGTGAATGAGTCATAAGAAGATACTCTATATTATTTTCAGTCTTAGTTTCAAGATGAAAACCATTTGATCGAATATCTTTAAAACTAAGAAGTGTTCTTTGCGATTCAGGGTACAAAAGCGCATCGTTAATTATTAATTCAGTACCCTGAGGAAGAGTAAATAAAGCTCTGCCGGAGCCGACTATCATGATTTTATCATGAGCAATTGTAGAAACACTCCCTTTCTTTTCATTTAAAGTTTGAAAAAATTTCCTATCTTTTAAAATAGTGTGCGTAGTAGCACTGTCGACCAGACATAAAATGCCCTCTTTCTCCATTAGATGCAAACTAATGAATGGTTGTGGTACACTAAAAGAAAAGTAAAATATTATAAGCAAACATAACAATAGTCTCAATCAAATCATAGTATAATAAGCAAAAACGAACCACAAATTTTGGTGATATAAGACATCGTCAAATTCTACAATTTTACAAAAAATATACATATTATCACCAAAAATATGAATCCATAAATGGTATATGAGTTTTATGTAAAGTTAATCTCATATAGCACAACAATTGTCAATTTGTTTGAACAAAATCAAGAATTAATTGAGATGATATGCAACGAAAAGCAAGTTACGAAATATTGCAGTATCCATAAGACGACTTAAACATTGACTGACAATTGTTATCTTATATTAAAAAAAATCCCATGTAATAGAAGAGTATAAACTGAGAAAAAAAATCTTAACAACAATGACAATAACAATTAGCTATAACTAATATGGGCACTGAACAATATAATATTGACTAAAATAAATTGAACTAACAATTAAATAAGTAGAAGTCCTTTAAGCAATTCCCATGTTAAACAGGTTTGTTAAGAATATCTCATATGAGTCTGCAATATTAATTTCCCAGCGTCAACATCATAAGAATTATTCGGAAATCAAAAAAAAACATCCAAGCCTCCATTAATTATGTGAAACGAGAATGAAGTTTTAAATTCATTGACGCAATTCATGAAGCCGTCAGTAATTATGAGAAAATCATGAAGCCGAGAATGAATTTTCAAATTCAGATCTCAGAAATATAAATTAATTCGACTCGGCCAGTGAGAGTAATTCATACAAATAATAAACTCAATTTTTTGACGCAATATCAAACATAATATGATTTCGGATACAATAAAAATATCCCAGCATTATCGGTATGAATAGATCAAGCATATAAGCATGTAAATCTATTACGCATCAATTATTTATACAAGCTCAACATCACAAATATCATAGCTCAGTAAATAATTCCCCAAGCAATTAGAATTCATGAATAGATGTGCAAAAGATGCTTGATGCCTAAATCACAAAATATATATACATATGTATGCGGACAAAGGTCTATCATAAGCCATTACTTAAATTGATGCCAACAAGCAGAAAAAAAATATGCGAGCATGAAAAAGCCGACACCGAACAGAGCACTGAAGCCATTCTGTTAACATAAAATTCTTATGAAATAAGGAAAAATAAACGGATCTCGAAAATACCTTGCAGGAAAAACACGATTTTTTCCTAGGGCAACACCAATAACGAACTAGAGCGTGCTGATAACGTGTTGTAAATTGGGATCCTCAAGCATTCATACCAAACAAAGTAAAGAGAAACGAGCGAGAGAACAAGAGACAGAAGAGCAGAAAAGTCTATCACTTTATTCATCGTATATCACCCTTATATAGGGTTTACAAGTGGGAAGCCCTAAAATCTAATTCTCCTAACTAACGGACTTCAGGCCCAATTGTATATTAGTAATGTCCACATTCATATATTTATAACATATTTGAATTTGTTTGTTCATATGAAACCTTGTTGGTGTTTAATATTTAGTTTGGCTAATTTATTAACACCTATAAGAAGAATAACAGCTTGGACCTATCTCCGCGCGATAGCCCAATTTAAATTGACTATTTTCTAAAAATGAGCTAATATCGGCCCAACAATCTTATATCAATTAGCCGGCTTCATATTTGGATATTTAAGCCCATCCATTACAAAATAAATAAAGTTACGTGCCTAACAGTAAATGTACAAGACTACAAGCTTATACAGCTTTTTCTTTTGAAAAAAAAAAACATATATAGCCAGTTTTAGAATCTTAAAAAGCATTTGATGAAACATTGCCTCATGATTGCAATCTTCACATGTTTTGGACTTTAATTATTTGTTTCAAATGGCAGCCTTTGCAAATGTGTTCCTATTTTCTTTTCAATTAATGAGTTAGCCTACTCAACAAGTAAATGGCTTGTGAAACAAACTTTTAAATATATGCTCATGTGACTTAAAAGATAAAGTCGCCTTATAAAGCAATTATCTCCGCGTGAGCCTAAGATCTTTAATCTCGGTTTATTATTTATTTTATTTATTTATTTTTATGCCCATCATTATGTATATTGCACATAAAAATTGGAGACTTTTAGTTTTATTGGAGAAAATGATGAGCTTATTTTAGTTATCACAAAATAATAAAGTGAAGTGTAGAAGATAAACGCAATAGTGTAAGAAGATCATAAACATACTTCTAATAAAAAATATATTTTAAAATAAAATATGAAGTCTTTTGTATATTAAAACAAAGTCTTAGAGATATACATAAAGATCCCAAAACTTAGGCAAAATAGTAAAAGAATAAAGAAACGAAATTAGAAAATAATGAAAATTATAAAAAGACTAAAATAGCAGAATTTTGCGCCATGCAGGACCACTTGGTCCATTGCACTAAGCGCAATGTATTCAATAAGAATTGATTATCTTTTAGAAATAAAATATCCGTTTTGATATTTGTTGACTAAAACCTTCCGAACGATCCCCAAAGAAGTCAAAGTTCATCTTCTACATATTCCACATCTCTATTTCACCAATTTATATAGTAGATATTTGTAGTTTTATCAATAATTTTTTCATTTTCTTTGATCCTTCAAAGGATTTCATTGGGTATTTATCTGAATTTACTGAAAGTCAAATTCAATAAGCTATAAGACATATTTTGATAACGATTGCTACGCGTTTGTAAATTTTTGTACAAGTAATTAATTATCTGATTCACGAGATAATCAAAGTCATCAGCTAATTCAATCTACGATTTTAAGTCTATAAGAATCCAATCTACGATTTTAAAGTCTTCAAGAGAACTGACTTTCATAGATTAGTCGTGGCAATAAGTAAGCCATAACTGGTAAAACTAACTGATAAACTAACTGATAGCTGATAAGTTAGTTTATAGCTTATGACTTATAGCTGAAAATTTAGCTTATATGATAAAAGAGTTTGGTAAAATTAGCTGATAAACTAATTAAAATAAAAATTTCAACGAGTTTATTTAAAAAGTTTTTAGATTTTTTTTTATTATTATTCTTACAAAAGTATACTTCCATTTATTACTTTTAAATTACCCCATTTGGTTTCATATACTTTCATTACATAAATAAGTATATTAAATCCAATAATTCCTTTGATAGGGTACTATGGTTGGGGGAGATATAAGATAAAAAGTTGGCGGGATTATTTAACTATGCACGTAATTATTATTGTCTTTTCATCAGGAGATTCCAATGATCATAGTGTAATTATTATGGAAAGCTTTAATAATTTCCGATCTTTAGTGGGCAAACTAAATACTTGCTTAAGATTGCAAATTCATGTGAAAATGTGGCCAATGACAAATGACAATGAAATTTAAGGAAATTATCAATGGGATAATGTTGGACGGCGTAATATTTAGACATTCATATTTTTTTAACAAATATAAATACGTTTAAATTAAAATATTATGTTCCAAAAATTAAAATAAATAAAGTATGTTTTATTTCAGATTGTACACATGTATTTTTGTTAATAAAGCACGACAAATCGACCCATTTAATGATTAACCCGTATTATAAAAAACATTTATGAATGCATTATATATGGGTCACCATCTAAAAAAGTTGTAATGGAACATCTGGCAGCTGCAATTTTATTAATGGATTTAGGAGAAAAGCTAATTAATCTCCAAACTTGATTTGCACTTTGAGTGATTAGGTGAAAGAGATTCTCAACTTTTTCTTAAGCTCAATTGGTAGATGAGGATGTGATTATCCCACAACTAAAACTTTTTTTCCCTAATCTAATTATGATTAGTTATCTTGTTTTTTTAATTACTATTATTTGATTGCCCCTTCCAAGCCACTCTTGGCTCCATCTTTGGTCCAACCCATGTGTGTTTTGGATGATATGATTCTATCATATATAAGTGGTGAGATGACAACATTGTTTGAAGATTATGGTCCTCTTTTCTACTTCATAATATTTCGCTTTAATCCCTACCAATAATACTTTCTTTACCTAATCAATAATTTTGGGTGCATTGTGCTTTTTTGTTAGCTCTTTTATCCTTATAGGTAACTTATGTTTTTACCTAATATGTACTCCCTCCATTTTGAAATATAAGGCGTATAGAAATTTTTCAATTTTTTTGAAATATAAGGCGCGCTCAAAAATCAAGACAAATTTTTGTATTTTTTTTTCTAAATATACCCTCATTGTGTTGAAATTAAGGAAGTGTGGAGTGTTGTGATTAGAGTAAATAAGGTTAATTTAGTCAATTTATTCATTAATTAATGTCTCCTTAATATTTATGCAATAACCTTAAATGCCTTATATTTCAAAATGGAGGGAATACCTTTTATTGTTCCATTTGTAGTAAAATTTGACTGTGAAAATTATTTTATTTTTACCCAAATTAATTAAGGAGTGAATGCAAAACCACGGCCTTGTTCACGTGGGAATGGTGACAGTCACGACACCTAATTAAATCCTTCCACCATCAAACCCATGAATCAATCAATGAATGCCCTTTAAAGCCAAGCAAAGCTGAAAAATTGCAACCCTACAAATTCAATACTTCTCTTACGTAATAAATTCAGTTATCAATAGGGCTGTATATACGATCTCGAGCTCGACTTGTTCATCGAACAAGCTGAGTCGATCGAACTCGAGCCTTAATAAGACGAGTCGAACCGAGTTCACGAGCGATTTGTTTTGTTTAACGGCTCAGCTTATCAACAACAATTAGAACAAAATTATCTTTCGTCCTACTTATAAAATAAATTTATTTATAATACTAATTGATGGAGATAGTATTGATTTGTAATGTTATGTATTACTTAATGTTAATGTTGTTATGACTTTGACAAAGTTAATGTAACATACAGAATAAAGCACAGTGTCGTTTTAGTTAAAACTAACTAGGTACTCTTCTCAAGGTTTTGTATTTGACATATGCATGTTATATAAAAAATAGAAATATATATCTAGCTTCCTTATTAAATAAAATATAAATGTATTAATTAATTCTAATTAAAAATAAAATAATTATTAAGCATAGATTTAGTGATTGTCCCAGTAGGGATTTTTCATAGTTATTGAAAGAGGTCATTTTGGGCAACATGAACTAATCAGCAATTATTTACGCATTAGATAAAAAAGAACGTTTACTTATCAATGTGATCGAGGTTTCTTACTCGCCACTGAGTTCTAGTTTAACTTTTAAGCCTGCGGCC